AGATAAATAGAGGCAGCGAGATGTCACTCCAGTCAGTGCCCTATGTCCTCAGCTCGGTGGTGATGCATTCTGGGATATCGTCGGAGAGTGGCCACTACTATTCTTACGGTCACAACATTAATGGAGCAGATGGAGCACAGCATCCAGCCAACCACTTTGCCCTCAAGGAGGATTTGGGGAATGGCGACCCCGAGTGTAGCCTCTCCACTTGCTCCGCTCTCTCAATTCCACCTGAACAAGGAGGCGCGCTGCCTAATAGAGGCCAGGAGGCAAGGGATTGGCTGCTGTTCAACGATAGCAGAGTGACATTCACGTCCTTGCAGTCGGTGCAGAACATTACAAATCGCTTCCCCAAGGACACGGCGTATGTGCTCATGTACAGGAAGCAGGAGCTACCGGGGCAGAACATAAATGGGGGACTGATGGCAAATGGAATGAGGTTGAGTGTTGAGCCTCCCCTGCAGAAAGAACTACTGGACGCTATAATCAAGGACAACAAGCTGTATTTACAGGTATGTGGGGGTGAACCAACGGAAAAAAAACAACTATACTTCTCCCACCTACAGGCATTGTGTCGCTCCCTATGAATTATACCAATTAATGCTAGCCAAGTGTGAAGTGATTAGCATTAGAGCAAGTATTTAATCTGCTACTAAGAGGTTCATTGGATATTTTGGGTGAAACCACTGTGCTTATTTTTCATGCTTCCCGTGCATTTGACGCGTAACATCATTACCACTAACCCCTCCAAGCGTGACGTTATTATGGAAGTCGAGGGCTGTACAAGACTCTCTCAGGTGGAGAGAGGCTGAGTGAAAACAGAAGACTAAGAGAGTATAGGATTTTCTTGTTTTTTGACTGAACTTGAAGCCAAATCTGAACTGTCCCGTTACAAGACATGAGGTGCAATTTCACGAGTCATTGAACTGTGTTGTGTAGAGTTGACTTTCTAGTGCACTCGTATGAGTGAGTAAAGTAAATCACCTCTAGAGGTGCTGTAATAATGTTAATAATAAGTGACAGCTCTGTCAAATTGAACTACAGCTGTGCCAAATTAGCTCTTTGGCATATCTCATATATATATATTTATTTATTTTCTTTACACGTAAGAAGTGATCTAACGCCGACACATTTCTCTTTCCTCCACGCTGTCAATAGGAGCAGGAGCTCAGTGCTCGGACCCAGGCTCTCCAGGCGCCGTCGTCGTCCTGCTCATTCAGGCCCAACGGTTCAGATGACAATAACCCACCAGGGAGCTGCGGCCCATCTGGTGGAGGGGGGGGGGGGGGGGGGGGGGGGCTTCAATACCATTAGTCGACTGGTCTTCTGAAGGAAAATCTGCTGCAGGAAACCAGATAAACTGGCACTGAAAGAGTCGAGAACTGATCATACCATAGATGTGCATATAACCTCCTGAAAAGAGCAGTGAAATCGAACGCACACACACACACAGCGTCTGCGCTGATTCTGATACTACAGTTGTTTTTGTTCTTACTAAAATATTTTCTACACCACTGTTTCACTCTTATTATTTGGTTGCATTTTATTTATTTTAGATTGGGTTTTTTTTTTGTGATCTCAACATTGTAATCTTTCATTAAACTTCCAAATTTCAAAACTTGCAAATGTGTTCTCTCCCTTAAATTTAAATAATGACAGTAATAATAATAGATTGCATACATTGATAAATGTGTGATACTGGTTGAGTCTAAAACATGCTCATGTTATCTGGCTTGTCATGTTTATATTACCGCGCGCACACACACACACACACACAAATGTATGCAAATACATGCATGTGCAGTGCACCGTACAGAAGAAAGCATTCAACTAAGATTTTTTTTTTGATTTGTCATAGTTCTGAACATGCAGCTCACAAACTGTATTTTTCTGATTTGCATGCAGCTTTTCTTCACGAGCTGTTTTCATGATATTCGGGTCTTTTTTGATGTGTGCTTTGCTGTGTTTTACAGGTTTCATATCCCATGCAATAAATGTACATACTGAAAAATATCATGGAATACAAAACTGTGTGGACAATTGAATACTACATTTGGGTAATTGCACGATAAAGGCATTTTCAACATGAATATTTAATGCTGACTAATGGGTGGTGTTTTGAACATATTTGACAACAGTTAACTGTTTGACGGCATATTTTAATGTATTCCTCTGAGTTGATCATTCAGGGAGACTTTGGTGTTCATGCTGATTTTATGTGCCTTTTTGATATATTTAATGCAGATTTTGGAAGAGGAATTTGTCAGGATACACACCTCAGCTGTACTGTGTTAATATTCATATTGGCTTCACCTGTCCCTACAGTAAAAACAAACCCGTTTACGTTGTATTGTCTTACTTAACCAGGCAGGTTATTTAAGGTAAAGTTATTTAAAGAGGTGGTCAGATGTTGGGGATTTAACTATAAATGTAATGGCTAACATGACAATAGAAATGTTAAAAAATAAAGTCAAAGATGAAAGGCAATTATTGAATACTCAATTGAGCTGACATGACTAATTTATCTGGAAATGTGAAGGAAAACACCAAAATGATGAGTGTTATGCTTAAGCATACCTCAATGTCTGCATGACCACTTGTCACATTTCCACTGCATAGAATATATTAACCACAAGGAGCCATCTCGAGTACTACATCTTGTTTTTTATGGGATGATCACCCACTGTACATCGTTTATATTCTTTCTTAAAGTATATACAGACTTTTCAACACGAATGCCAGTTTTCTTCTAGATCTAAGTGTGACATGATGGATTTGCAAATAATACATTTTTTTAATTAAATAGATGCTTCAAAATGAAAATGAATTTCAATATGTTATTGACACTACTAACCTCAATAATCCCACTCCAAAGCATGCAGCTTTTTATGGTGTAAACTACTTTGTTGATTTAAAAAAAAAAGAAACGGGAGTGTCCATTGTTGCATAATTCATCAAAACAAGCACATGTATCATCTTTTTGCTTCAACTGCAAAATATTTTTTGCATAAATGGAAGTGAGTATACAAAGCTGTGTCTGAAAAAGGAACTGGGAAATCACATACAGTCACTTACTGTTCTTGGGCTAATAACAAATGACAATTCTAATGAAGCAACAGCAAAGGACTTACATAGGTGCCATTTATTACTAATTAGGGATTGATATGGGAAAAAACTGTTGTAGCACAAAATCTTTAAGGGAGAAAAAAATCACTGATTCTCAACTATTAATCAACCGAAGCATTCCAATTTTCACCTCACATTTGTTGAACACCACTTATGGGATGATCTATCTTCTGTTCAATTTAAAGTCATATTAGGATTTTATCATTTTAAAATTCGTTATAGGTTTTGTAGTGCCATACATTGCATACAGTACGCATATTCATTTGGAATGTACTGACAGCAAGCCCGGTCTGTTTATCTGGTGTCATTGCAAATTAGTTTTGCACTGCACAAAAACACTGTAGATTTATGCACCTGTAAAGCAACACGACGCAATATTAAAGACAGCTTCCCAGACACAAATGCACAGCCTCTTAGACATGCCACATTTAGGAAGCATGGTGCATCCAGAATGTTGCACACAAGCTAATTAATGCTGTACCGAGGACTGTATAGTGCCAAATATATGGTGGGCTGTCATGAAAAAAATTCATTAACAGGAATTGGTGTATTGTGTCTACATCCTGTAATTGCTGCTCCCTATTTCTTCATCAATACCACGGCTGTTGAAAGAGGTAATGTGCAATGGCAAAGTCATTAATCGTAGACTACGAAGAAACATCCTTGGGGGGGAAGTGTTCACCATTACAATGGCATTCCAATACGATTCCTCGGATACCATTGGGAGTCTACAGGGACCACGTCTTTGCTGTTGTGAAGTAGACCAGTTGTGAGTGCTGTGTCCGGTATATTGATCAGATATGGTAAACCAGATCAATATTACACTTTACAATACCTTTATCTACCATTGTGGTGTTTGACAGTAGTTTAGAAAACTACTGATCTATCTATCTTAGAATTCAGTTCAAAAAATAATCACATGCTGACAAAAGATATCTCTGATATAAGTTGTAGTTTCAAGGCATTGTTAAGAAGTAAAAAAAGACTAAATATCTGATATTTAAACTGTTGTAATATATGTACAACAATGAGACTTCATACCACAAAAGATAAATGCCATAATATGACACCTTGAGTGCACTGTCTTCCTTCCTTCTATCCTACGAACATTACATGATGTTATAAGGAGTTTTTCACGCATTATGGATAATGTAGTTTAGACGTGCAATGATTCCTTGGGAGATTTTGGTTCAGACTGAGGTGGGTCCTTTCTTTGTCTTCTCTGCAATTGTCTGAGTCCACTTTTTGTAATCACCCAGAGGTGCACGTGGCTCTGTCACACCATGTTGCATCTATCAAACCGTCCTACAGTCATTTGTTGTGTTTTGGGACGGAACACAAACGATTGTTGAACTACATGTCCCATGTTTGAGCTTTATAGTTTTCACTGCACGCCGCCGCCGCCTCCCCATTTCGTCCTCTAGAGTAATTAAGCGAGCAGAGCTACAAAAATGTGACATCCGGTAGTAACTTTCAAAACAAATCTCCAAACGTTGAGGGACGATGTTGAAGGAATGTGATTTGCGTGGTTTTGCTTTCTAAACATGGATATTACCTCGAATGAAGATCATGATCCACGCGTGAAAATGAATTTGGTCCAATTTAAACTCCTACTTTTACCAAATGTAATAACTGGCCACGACTCTGAAAGTTTAGACAAATGAGCATATATAACTGTGACTGCCAAATATCAATTAACAAAGACAATATGGACAATTTACACGTAACATGTCAGTTTCATAAGTTCAAATCGGTACGATAGAGCCCTTCAAACTAACGTTCTGGACGAGACAAAAGATTTATTTTGAAGGAATCCATGAACATCCGCTCTGTTGCCATTAGGCCCGTGAGCTTGACACCGCCATGTTTCAGAGGAGGGTGAGTTTAGGGAAAGACGGAGCCACACTGTCAATCACAATTAAGGAACCATGGGAGTAAACTGGTGAGGAAGCTCGGCGGAACCACAGTGTTTACGGTGAAGATTGTTTTAATTTGCGCAGAAACGACCACTATGCACCGGTACACTGTGGGACATTCACATCTGATCTCGCCAACTGGGAATCGCTCCACTTTGACGGGAATTAGCATGATACGTTACATATAACAACAACAAACTTAGCGACTTCCAGTTGCCTGTGCCTTCTTTTTTTCCCTCTGCCCTCACAGCGTTCCAGTTTGAACAAAATACACAAGTCACCGTTGATATTTGTTCAAAAGGCGGTGCCGCGGAGGTTTATATTAAACCCGAGCCCTGGATATACCCGTGTTTTTGACTCCCAACTCGTGGAAAATCTGGTCTGTGCATTTCAGAGAACTGCCTGGTCGGCAAGTCGACTTTCGAAGGAGTGACGGTATTTATCGCCCCCCCCCAAAAAAAAACACAAAAATACTTAACTTTTTATATATCAATTTTAACCGTTTGAGCTTTGTGCCAACGTGTTTTTTTCTTCTTCCAGGTACAAGAAGACACTCCCAGAAACAAACGAAGCCAAAGAGCAATCTGAAGGGAGCCGATATGAGTGGGGGAGATGTGGTGTGTTCAGGGTGGCTGAGAAAGTCTCCTCCTGAAAAAAAGTTGAGACGTTACGTAAGTGCGCTTTATAACCTATTTGTTACATTGTGACAAAATAACCTTTTATCACACGAAACGTGCCAGTTCTTCCCCTGGACGCGTTTCACGCGCACGGTTGTGACGGACGTGTGTAGGCCTCGTCTTGTGTGCATTTCAACAAAAAAAAGTTTTGGTATTTTCTGAACCTGAAAGGGGGTCGTGACTTCTCCAAACACAGTTTTCCGTGTTTTTCCCTTGGCAATTAGAGCGGCTTTACCATTACAACATACTATCGCTATTGTTGTTGTTTAGGGTCAAACCCGAGGCCTTTTCTCTTTATTAGCTAGTTCATGCTACCACAACAGCGCTCCAATCTCACAGCATTACCTCTGAGGATTTGATTTTCTTGGACCAATAACACAATTCACAGATTAATTTGGTGAAGCAGTGCTTCCTTTTCTTTTCTTTTTAATTTAACTGACTCGAATTAACTCGACACAAGTATTGACACTCGGCCTATATGACGGATACATTAGATATTTTACTGCATTTTAACAGCTGCATCTGTATTTTAGCCGTAAATGCTTTGGTTACATTTGAAATACTTTGTCACGTTAAACGCAGCTGCAACTTCTTCCATCATGCAATCACTCAAGACATAGCCCTACCAGATCCTCCCTTTGGCACTTCTTTAGTATAAACAAGTTATATTAGTTTATTTTGATGCATTGTATGCACTCTGGCACCTTATATACATTAACAGTACAAGAAAATTGCTTTGTGAATCAGCTCATTTTCATCGTTGGATTAGAAAGTGTTTGGCGGGCCGGAAGTCTGTGGTACACGGTCACACCAAGGAGTAAATGATTTACAAAACAACTGCAGATACTTCCAATGAGCCCTTTCCTGTAAATTTCAAACAGTGTTTGTGAAAAGTTGTCATATGCATAGTGAAGTTGTTTGTCAGAGCTACTATAATCGTTATGTTTACTGTCCCAGAACTGACTGATCCCTCACACACATTCAGTGTTACACCTTGCAGTGACACTGGATGAGTAGTAATAGTAAGTAATGCATAATTACTGGGGACAAAACGCGTCTTTCTCTGACATTAATTTTCCATGCTGGCAGTGGGTTATCACTGTTTAGAGTGTGATTCTTTCTGCTCATTTGTTGTGCACTTGGGGGAGAAAATGTTATAGCCGACAGCAGCGGCGATGCAAAAGCAAATCGCTTCAGTACCACATAGATGAGTGGACATCTCTGTTATTGATATTTCAATTACAAGGCCCGCAACTTGAGCGGGGGGATGTTTCTGCAGAGACCACAGGTCCAAATGGAGTGTTTTCTTCTGAAAGTAGTAAAGCTGAAATCTAGCCCTTAAGGCAGGATTTTCACAGGGTTTTCTTGCATTTATAACAGATTAAAGTCTAATTAGATGTGGAGGAAGTCCAAATCCTGGTTCACTTACTTGTTGTGTGCATCCTTCTAGTTTTAGTGAATGCCTTTATCGGTGGTTATCCCACACAGCTGATTCTTTCTTTCTTCCATTTGTTTTGTGTCAGCAGTGACACTGATGAGAACTTCTGCATCACTTGAGAAAATCTCTGAAAACCGTGCGTTATCTTTAACGACAAATACGTTAAACACGAGAAACCGCTTTCTACTTGTTGGGGGTTTTTGATACCCGCACCACCAGCAGCTCCTTCCCGTTTGTTATTAGGTTTATCAGAACAGGTAGTGACACACATATTAAGAAAGAGTTGTGTAAGGGAAATGAATACTGGCCGTTATATCATTGTATTTAGTAGTATAGTATTTCACACATGGTGAACATGTACATTATTTGTTGCGTTTAGTACCTTGTAAAGCAGAAGTGAATTCACAAACGAATATTCAAATTTCAAAAATCCCTATTTTGGCAATCCGACGAGTGGCCTAGAAGAGAATGAAATCTAAAAATACGGATTAACCCAACCGTGGGTGTTGTGACCAGGTTTCCCATCCTGTGAACGGTCTTACTGGTTTGTCACAGGAGGTTGTGTAATCCACAGAAGTGCTGACTATTCTTTTTTTTTGGCGTATGACAAAGTGCTCAAACGTTACCGATGTAGCCACCAGCTGTTTTGAGTCGATGCCTAAAATACACGGAGAAGTTTATTGTTTTCTAAACTAGAAGTCGTGCAGCCGGTAATGAAGCGCTGTGATTTCAGGCTGGAAAGGATCAGTGGGCTCTACCTGTAGGGGTGGAATCTAGGAATTGTTTCGGTGTTTGAATGTAAGTCGTGTTGCATTTGATGGCAATCGCACGACGAAGTCTGTTTGCGAAGTTTCCTGTCGTGTTAGTCAGTTCACTGTATTCACCTGGAATCGCACACATTTCAGATCAGAACAAAAGGATGCACTGATCCGACTCCTTCACTCCCGATACCAATACCAGCACCGACACCCGCGGCGCTGGTATCGTCATAGGCTGTCAGCCTCACTGTGTGGAAGGGATTCTTCTATGTGTTAGACAGCATCAGGCTTGACCTAAACATTGCTTTCCTAATTATGTTAAACAAAATCGAATTAATACATGCATAGATATAAAGGTACTGAATGTTTTTCAGCCACAGTACAGCTAGCCTTTTCTCTACCTCGGCTTTCACTTTTGAACCATATGACACACTAGCTTCTTGATCTCCATTCCAGATGTTTGCTCTACTTGATTTGTCTCCCAACGCTTATTCAGGGTCTGCTCAGATGGTGGTGACACATATCAGACTGGTTTGAAATGATGATCAATTACTGCAGAATCTACATTGCCAACCAAATGCCTCTAATTGTGCAGTCAAAGTTATATGCACAACCGCCAAACCATTTCTCACAGAGATGCTGATGAATTAATTGATGAAGAATTTGATTGACAAGCAGAATAATCCTTTCCTGGTAATCAGATTACAGTCGGTGAACTGTTTTCAACCCCTGATGAACCCCTTTCAGCTCTCTTTCATGAGTCTCCAGACTGAGCAGCAGTGGACTAGAAGCTGGGAGCCCCTGCTTACCTGATTTACCACTCAGGGCAAAGTTTGCCCCCGAGGCTCTGCTGCTGATTGGTGGAGCTCAAAGGTGAAAGCAGTTCAGCAGGCCTGCCTGTGAGCAGCCTCAACCATCAGGGGCTCGACACAAGCTAGAAAATGCTGCCTTTCTATTTGTAACCAATCAAGTAAGTGAGAGACCTCTTAAACATCACTTTAACCTGATGTTGACCAATCGGGTGAGGTTTTATTGAAGAGGATCAGTGTTTCACAATCTGAGTGACAGATTAAAATCGGATGTTTTTCTTCCGTCTCTGAAACAACTAAGTCATGTATGCATTATGTACGACACAGCCTTGGAAATTGATTCATTTGTTGTTTCAGTCCAAATTCTCTGGGAAAGAGTCGACACTTCCTGTCCATTAATGTCTCATTCGGGGACAGCATGATGGTATCTAACCAAAAAAATATTGCTTTTGTAGGACTTTTCCCAGCCTCAGTTTGTCATAAATGTATCTGCTGGGGTTCTCCATTTCATTGACACTGCATTTTCCATCTGGTTCTCTGGTTCCTCTTTCATTTCTCGTACCTTTCGATCTGGGATTTTTTTTTAAATTTTTTGTCCAGGTCCATTTGTCAAAAACAAAACGTCAAAAAAAAACAGCTTAGAGGCTGGTATCGTCACGCCAGATGCAGAGAGGAAGTTCCAAGGTTGTTTTCAGCATCACTCTGTTAAGTGTGACAGTCCATTGTGATGTGTGTAATACATGGTAAGATTATATATAAAGACAAATACATCAATCTATCTGTCCATCTATCCATTCATATATATACTGTATATATATATATATATATATCAGGGTTCCCACATGTCTGTTGAATCAGACTTCCACAGAGGGGAACATATTAGTGTATGCCACGATACCCGTCTGTCATACCAGCTGGATCATCACTGAAAAAGTCCTGGAAAATGTTGGAAGAGTGGAAATCCTGTATATATATTTTCAGTTTATTACAACTGCGATGAAGATGTAAAATTATATTTCCTATCCCTAATTTAGCTGGGCAGTTCCTCGGTTCTTTCCTCCCGTTGCACATGGCTATATGGATGGACCACTCTAATCCCTGCAGTCCATTGGCTTGTACCCACTAGAAGAAGATAAGGATTATGTTGTATTCGTCCAGCCCTTAATAGGGCCTCAGCGCTGCGGTACACGGCTGCTGTGTAGACCGGAAGAAGGAAAATATTGAACCCTGGAGGTCCTCATCTGATGGCTGTAAAGGGAGATTGAGGATGAAACTCTATCAGCTGAGGGAAAATACATTCACAGCATACAATACTTGTGGCCATGAGCCTTCACATCCGTCTGTCTGATTGAACGCAATTGTCACTTGCAAAGTGTAAGAGAAATGTTTATGTAACTAATGTGACGGGGCAGGCAAACGAAAACGGAGGCATAGCTCTTTGATTAAGTAGAGGATTCATTAAATCTGCTTAGCAAGTGGAACAGAGAACAAACACTCACTTTCTGTTGAACCCCCGCCCCCCACATGCTTGAAGAAACAAACAAAACGAGCAAGTGGAACAGGATGCAACAGAGGGCTACTTGTGCAGCATTAGCCTCTCAGGCTAACACTGACAAAATGACTGGACTGTGTCCTGGCTGCCACAGCGACTCGGCTCGGCACTGCTGTTGTGTGATCTGCCACAGCTTGAAAATGGATTGCATGTGCCATTAATTATTTAATGTCCATTACAAACAAATATCCATTAAATATTCATATCTGTGCTACTACAATAGTTATCCTCACCACTTTTGTCCCAGACACAGACTATCACCATTGTGTTAGATGTAGGCGTATCAGTTGCAACGTAGCCGAATAGCTAAAAGTTCTGCTGTAAGGACTCCGCAAACGAGGTGAAAGCCCTTTGAGTCTCATTTTAATCGGCCGAGCTTTGATTGAACCCACCGGGGATACGTTTATTTTCAGTTGAAAAGCCTTTACGAACCAAAC